ATCCTCCGGGATTCCAATACTTCCTTAATAACACATTTAATATCCCACTCTGATAATTCCTCCTAATAAAATAAAATCTTGTCAAATCACCAACGTCACGCCTCTGGCGAGTTGCTTTATCACATAAATTATATCTTTTTGTATATAAATTATTAAACGTACAATTCACCCCGTAACAGTAATTAAAGCACAATACTGTAAATCGATAGATTCAAAAACTCGAAAATCAAGTTTTGTTTGATTTTGCTGAGCACTAGGTCTGTCGCAGCAGAACTCCGAAGACCCATCAGGAAATATTTGCATTTTCACGTGATATAGTCGTGTGGCTTCTGAAACCCCAAAAAATAAGCGAAAAATTCCAAGGCACAAGGTATATGCACCACCAAAAATGATATTTGCAGAAGTTCTCGGATGGTGGTTCAGTTTGTTTATGTTTCCATATTCTCTTAAATTACAATCTACCGGTACATTTAATGTGACAGCATACACGTGACTTATCGACACAGCGTGGCTGGCATTATAATTAGGATTAGCGTTAGAATTAGTCACACGTGTAAGTGACAGTAAAACTTATTTTAATCTGCCAAAAATGGTGTATTTGCAAAATATGCAGGCAAATTTGCCTGTAAGACAGTGTAAAGAATACTGTATTAAAATGTCTGCACTATTTAAAAATATTATATTTGTCTCATTAAAGGCGATATGATTGGTTAACTGATCCATTTGAGATCAGGTGACAGGATTTGAAAAAATCAACGAGATAGGGTACATATTTTATATATTGACTTGAATAACTTCTTGACATAATACTAAATAGTCACATAATAAATGCTTAAATTATTACAAAAAGTTAGTTGTCGTCAAATATTGTTATATCCTATGGGTCACAAAAGATAAACAAGTAATTTATAATATAGAAACGGTTTTAACAATAATGCTAATGACGGAAATTTTTGAGAATACCTAAAAGTAAATTACAATGGACAGATACGCTATGTATTGCTAATGACAGATCTTTATTTACATGATAATATTATTTATAGAAGTATCCTTTTAAATAAAATATATATTTTACTGGATTTATATTTATTAATTCATTAAAAAAAAACCAAAGAATGCAGATTTTATACTATAAAAGCGGATAAATGAGTTATTTATAATTTCAAATTCAATCGTTCTTAGAAGGTTGGCTTACCGTATAAGCGCGAAATAACGCGCAGGGGTGTGATTTCGAATTATGGCCTAAATTAATCCTAATTCGGACCATTATTCAAATAACGCCCCTGCGCGTTATTTCGCGCTTATACGGTATATCTATATTTGTCGTGTTTCAATCAAATTCATATATTTTGATCTATCATCGATAACTCGCGATCTAATGATTCAATCTTGATGATTTTGATATTATTCGAATCCTCGAAGTGAGAGGATTCGAATGGTATCAAAATCATAACTAGATCGCGAGTTATCGATGATGGATCCAAATGTACGAATTCGATTGAATCACGAATTTGGTCAACAAATCCCCATAGAACCATAATACTTCACTACCCCTAAATGTTAAAATGATATGAAATCTTAGTTTTGGAGCAATTCTTTGGGAAATTTTAAGCAGAAGACACCCACCATTCGAACCAATATATTGGTTCTATATCTAAAGAAAAAAAAAAGAAACTTATAGAAGATACACTACCTCAATATACGTATACTCTAGAAATAGTGTTAGAATAACGATCTAAAACTAGATTATAATCGATTACAAGCAGTTAATCGATTATAATTGATTGATTTCTATCGCTAAAGATGTTGATAATCGATTATAATCGATATACCGTATTTTCGCGTAATAACGCTCACCTGCGCGTTATTTTGAGTATATGCGCGTTATTTCGAGTACGCGCATGAGCGTTATTTTGAGACAATTAAAAAATTTTA